TCAAAAAAACCAAAAAAAAAAAAAAAAAAGATTTATTTATTATGTATACAGTGTTCTGCCCGCATGTATGCCAGAAGAGGGCACAAGGTCTCATTACAGATGGTTGTGAGCCCCCATGTGGTTGCTGGGAATTGAACTCAGGTCCTCTGGAAGAGTAGCCAGTGCTCTTAACCACTGAGCCATCTCTCCAGCCCCTGGAAGTTCCTCTTGCTCAGCTGTCTACCCCTTTGCTTCCTCTCAGCAGGTTATATCCTGCCACTCTGTGTTCATCCATTTCTTTTTTTTCCTCTAATTTTTATATTACATGATTGAGTGTTTCGCCTACATGTATATCTGCACACCACTTGCGTGCCTGGTACCTGCAGAGGCCAAGAGGTTGCAGATCCCCGGGACTGGAGTTACAGACAGCTGTAAGCTCTGACTACTGGGACTCCAATCTGGGTCCCCTGGAAGAAGAGCAGTTGCTCTTAATCACTGAGCCTTCTCTCCAGCCCCTTTATCCACGTCTTAAGGGAAGCCCCCTGGGACCCATCACAGGGTCTAGTGTCCCTCTATCAGCTACTTCCCCTTCAGTCCCGTTATTACACCTGACATGCACTCCTCGGCATGACCACCTGCCTCCTGGTGAAGGCAGAGAACACGTGGGTTGTGCTCATGGCTGGTCCCCTCCCTGAGGAACCCCTTACAAATGTCATCACTCCAGTGACATACACCTACCCCAGACCCCCCCAGGCCAGATGCTTTCCCTCAAGACAGTGGCACAGAGTCGGACCCAGCTTCCTCTCCCACTAGAGGCACAGAACGAGGTGAGTGGGTGAAGGGTGGACTAGGGGAGGTGAGTGGGTGTGGGTGAGTCTAGAGAGGTCATGCAGAGCCCCAGGTGGGAGAAGAAGAAACATGGAGGGGGTGCCCAGCCCGGGAGCCCAAGTTCTGAAGGAGGCACAGCACGGGATAAGCAAAGTAAAGCAGGCGAGTAAAAAGAGCAAGGGACAATTCCCAGACTCCCGGATGGGACTCCTGAGGCTGGTGCTAGCTTTGTAGAGCCTGGGGCCTGCTTGTCCGCTGGGGATGGGGCCGGCCAAACAGAACCTGGGCTTCTGAGAAGGCTATGGATGCTTAGAGCCTGAACCCTGGGCCTCCCTGGGTCTCCCTCCTGGAACCAGACACCCTCCTGGGGGCTGGCGATGGGGCGGCTCCTACAGTCTCCCAGCTGAGGCTTGAAGACTGCTCCTTCAAGCTGCCTTCTCCCTGAGCCAGGACCCAGAGTCAAGGCCACAAAAAGGAGCTCAGTGTCTCCCCAGCGAACCCCTGTGTCATACGATCGGGAAGAGCTTTCTGTAGGGTGAGGCAGGAGCCCCTGGTACTGAGAACTAACTACCCGCGTGGTGGATGTGAGACAGCCAAGGTAGGCGCTCTGGAGTCCCTTACCAGCTGGGAACCCTGTCTCGGACGGACGCTGAGGCTCCAGGTCCACTGCTGACTCAGGTCTGGCCGTCCCCATCTCTCTGTCTCCTCTCCCCTAACATGCTCTGAAAGCAGGAATTCCAGAAGAGCAAGCCATACGGTGCCCGCAGGGGGCTACCCATCTCTATAGAAACCTGGGAGCCCCAGGGCTACCTGGGCCCAAAGAGGGGCTGTGATTCAGAAGTAACTCCCAACAGGCTGCTGATCCTCAGCTCCCACGTCTGCTCGCTTCCCGGGCATCTGGCATCTGCCCAGCCCGGCCCTCTCTAGCCCGGCCCCAGGCTCTCTCAGTTCCTGCGCTGGGTCAGTGGGACCTTCCCGCCTTACCACAGTCGCCAGGCTGGGAATGTGTTTGACTGAGTTCTCGACCTCCTCTTCGGTCACCTCCACCAGAGTGCAGTTCTCGTCCTCCGACGGCAACGGCTCGGCCCCGTGCCTCGTGACCCAAGGGTGCAGCTTCAACGAATGACAGCGGCAGGGGTGAGGGACGGACGGGGCGCCGCTGGTTCCCACAAGGCCCTGCCAGCGAGCAGTGCCAGGGAGGGGGCATGCGGGAAGGAGAGGCCGGGGCCTGGGTCAGGCATGCGGGAGAGCTGGTGATCCAGGCGGGGGAGGGTGGGTGAGGTGAGAGGAAATGAGGAAAAGCAGAGGCAGAGAATGGGGGGGAGGGGGGGGGCGTGCTGCAGAGCTGTGCTATGTGCAGAGGCAGATCTCCATCTGGTCCCTGGCCACGGCAGCAACGACCAGAGTCTGGCATCAGCCTTGCCCGGCTGCCCCAGGAACACCCACTGGTCGCCAGCAACTCTCCCTGACAACAGAGGCCGCGCTCTGAACAAGCACGTTTTCCCATCCCACGGGACAGGAAACAAGGAGTTACGGGGCGGCCCAGATGGAAGGGCACACTCCGAAGAGCACTCCCCCCCCCCCCCCCCCCGGGGTCCAAGTCCTTCTCTGCGACTTTTGGACCCTCTTAAAGACACCCTTCCAGGTGAAGCGAGCCAGGCACCTCAGAAGCCCTGGAGCATATCTCGAGATGTCTTTCTTTCTTTTTCAAGACACGGTCTCACATCTCTCGGGCTGGCCTCTAACTCACTGTGTCACCAAGGATGACCTTAAACCTGATCTTGCCTCAGCAACCCCCACATGCTGTGACTGAACCCGGGGGCTTCATGCACGCCAGTCAATGATTCTACCAACTGAATGACATCCCCAGCCCATCTTGGGATTTTTTTTTTTTAAGGGCCAGATGTGTTGTGTACTTGGCATTGACAGGGGAGTGTGGAGTGATGGACAAGGCTTCTTTTGCTGGAAGCACTTTCTACTACAGAGCAGAATTCAGCAGATGGAGGTTGAACTGCCCACTAACTTCCTCCCGCCCTCTCTGCAGGTCCTCATAGGGACCCGCCTACATCTTTGACAGGGCCAGAGGGGGCTAGAGAGATGGCCCAGCGGTTAAGAGCACTGGCTGCTCTTCCAGAGGACCCGGGTTCAATTCCCAGCACCCACATGGCGGCTCACAACTGTCTGTAATTCCAGTTCCAGGGGATCTGACACCTTTACCCCAATGCACATAAAATCAAGTTTAAAAAAAATATTAAAGAAAGGACTTGAGGTTCAGCCGCCGGAACATGGAGCACACAGAGGCCCCAGACCACGCTTTCAGGGTGGACGCCATCAGTCCAAGCTACTGGGAGGAAGCACAGGCAGCCCAGGTGATCGGTCACGGATCCCACAGTGGAAGCAGCCATTAGTCCCTGCTCCCAGCAGCCCTCAGCAGCCCAGAGGCTCCAGGACATGGGAAGGCAGCCATGCCAGGAGGGTGTGGTGCTGTGGACAGGGCGGAGCCAAACGTTTCCAAGCACAGGCCACAGGCCTCAAGTACTAGCCTTCTTAACAGCAGCAGTCAAGTACCTTGATTTCAGGCACCACAATCCTGGACTCTGGGTTCTTGTCCAGCATTCGGGTGATCAGATCTTTCAAGTCTTCAGCTATATCAGGCCTGGGGGGGTGGGGGGGTGGAGACACATCATGGGTAGGTCACAGAAAACTCAGGGACCGGACCGCTGAGGATTCGGAAGGATTCAGAAGATGGTGGACAGACAGGCTCTACTCACTGGTCTGGAAACTCCAGGGCCTGGCTCTTGATCTTACTGTGCAAACACATGATCCGCTCATCCATGAAAGGGCACTGTGGAGAGGCCAGGGAGTATGGTGGTCAGTGGCCGCCACCTGCATCCTCCTCAGGGACCACGGCAGAGAAACGAAGAGCAGTGGCCCAAATAGAGAGGGAGCAGGAACCAACTGCCCTTCACCCCATCCCCAAATCTGTGAAGTAACAGGAATGTGGAGCTGGTCTCCAGCCCTTACCAACTGCACCACTGGCCTGCTCTGTTGCTGAGCTGCGGTTTCCTACCCAGAGAGCAGTAAGGAAGCTGCATGTGTACATGTGTGCATGCATACATGTGTGCGTGCGTGCGTACGTGTGTGCATATGTGTGTGCATGCATACATGTGTGCGTGCGTGCGTACGTGTGTGCGTGTGTGCATGTGTGTGTGCATACGTACATGTGTGCGTGCATACATGTGTGCATGAGTACGTGTGTGCATGTGTATGTGTGTGCGCGTACGTGCATGTGTGCGTGCATGAGTACGTGTGTGCATGCATACGTGTGTGCGTGTGTACATGTATGCACACACACGTGTGTGCATGCGTACATGTGTGCATGCATACCTGTGTGCGTACGTACGTGTGTGTGCGTGCCTTTGTGTGTGCGTGCGTACATGTGTGCGTGCATACGTGTGTGCATGCGTACATGTGTGCGTGTGTACATGTGTGCATACGTGCGAGTGATTATCAGAGTTTAGCCTGGCACAGGTCCCACAAGAGACTCTCTGTGACTAGACATCCAATCCATGGTACCCTACCTGGGAATGACCTCCCTCCCCATCATCAACTGCATGGCTTGTTCTCTCCAGTCACGTCTGACCAAAACTACCTGAGTGGCCCCCCTGGGCTTCCCTGCAGCAGACCTACCTCCTCCAAGCACACCATCCCCCAGCTGGGCACTTAATCCTGACTTTACAGTCATTGATTGGTAACTCCTTTCTACTGGAGCCTCAACACCAGCTCTGGGCTTCCTGGTTGGCGTTCCTAGAATGTCTTTGGCACAGTAAAGATCCGCTGAACTAAGGAAAACTGAAATTGGTTCTGTCTATCTTCTCAGGGATTGTAAAACATTAAGTATTGAATTGGGGGTGCAGTCCAGTGGTACAAATGGTGTTTGGAATGTACAAGGCCCTGGGTTTGACTGCTAGCTGAAGGGGCCGGGGCATGATGATAAATAGATATATGGATACTATAATGGTAGATTCCAGGTGGCAGTGTTCTGAGTTTTTGCCATAGAATTCTCTCAACTTTATACTGAACTGAAAATTGTTCTAAAGATATAAATATATATATAT